CGTATTTCAATTATAATTAATTTTAGATCTAGAGATTATTCTGTAGGATGATAATTCAACTAAATTCTATATTACATTAAAAGTATTATGCCACCTCCTGAGAAAAAAATGTGTATATACACACACTGTGCTAACTGTCTTAAAAGTTAGTGAGTCTTCACTAGTTTTCAATAAAATCTTCAAGGAAATCATAGTTAAATGAACGCCAATCATTTGATGACTAACAAGACTACATTGCAAGAACAGGAAAAAGAACTGAAGTTTAGTATATACCTATGCTAATCCCAAAGTAAGTCATTTTATGAGCTTGAATGGTTTGATCCTTTTGCAGCAGAGCAGTCTCTCTGTCTCTGAGTAGAGAGGCTAAGTTTTTAAAGGAAAACTCTGCAAAACTTTTACTCCTTGCAAAGAAACCTCGTGTTTTCAAATATGTCAATAAGTAGTATATTCTTACTATCATGCTACATTATTAAAAAATAAATAAGGACATCAAACTAATTACTAAATTAAAAATAAGACATCAATCATATTAAAATCATTAAAAGTATTTTATTTTTTATCTATTTTAATGTGAATGGGCGTCTGATTGGAGCAGTGATGGACAGTTAGAAACAAGTCTCTTCAAAGCAAATTGTTTTGGTGACTATTTTATTCATAAAAATTGTTGTTAGTCCTATTTTATTATTCACATAAATTGAACATGGGGGTAAGAAAGTTTGCAACATCTTATACACTACTCAATCAACTGAGAAATGCTCCTGGTTGTTTTTCTTAGTTTTGAATATTCTTACTGTTATTTTTTTGGATTTCAAAACGTAAAATGAAAATTCAGTAAAATTTCAATGTCAATAACAGAAGTTTTCAAATTTTCTATGTACTGTCTTTTTATTCATAACTTTGAATATTGCTTGTAATTAATTATGAAATTTTGAGACTCTATTGCATGAATTGTTAATAGGCACAATAAGCTTCGTTATAATTTAACTGCATGATGAACTTTTTGTTGGTTATAATATAAGGTATACCTTTAGAGTATAGTGAAAAGGGCACTTTAAGGCCATGAAGCTAGCTCAGATAAATATTAGCCATCAGACAAATAATCTGACAAGGCTAATACTAGGACAGACATAAATAGTTGGCTGCTGTGTGCAAATTTTCACAGATCCTGAGATATTTTTATTGGTTATATCTATATTATGTTTTAATGATTAAGAACCATACCCACTTAAAAATCATGCTAGTTGGACTATGCTGTGAATGATCAACTTTGCACCTATGATTATCCATCAGAGTCTAGATAATTGGATATGAAAGTGATGAAGATCTTATTGAATTACTTTGGCAAAGATCTTGTTGATTTGATGAAGTCAAAAATGAAGTCAAAGGCTACTTTGTGGCAGTCAAAGGTCACTTAGATAAAAGAGTAGTGGGATTAGTGAGTCTGCATCTCTGCTTAGGTATAATCATTTTTATCTCTCTGCTGCATGAGGTTTCTTCATTTAAAAGATTTTGCAAATGCCTCTAAAAAATGTTTAAAACGGTTAAAAACAAAGTATTTTGATAAAAGGTTTTTTAATTAGCTATTTTAACTAATAGCATATAAGCTTTATCAACTAAAATGTTCTTAACACTTTTGTAACAGGTTTTTAACTAATATGTTTACGAAATAATCGATTGTTTTCATTAAAAGGATTTTTGAAAACCTTCTGCCAGTATTTTAACTGATATAGAATTGATATAATCGATTAAAATGACTTAGAATATTTTGAAAAGTGTTCTGGTAGAATTTTAATCGATACAAACTCGAAATAATCGATTAAAATAACTTGAAGTGTTTTGAAAGTTGTTCTGTCAGTATTTTAATCGATACAAATGCAAAATAATCGATTAAAATAACTAAGAGGTTTTTTCCATAATGTTTTAATCGATTAAAACAAACTTGCTATCAGTTAAAATAACTTAGAAAGTTTTATAAAATCTTTTGGCAGAATTATAATCGATTAAAATGCGTTTCAATCGATTAAAATAACTAAGTGAACTTTTTTTAAAGTGTTTTAATCGATTAAAACAGATTCTTATCAGTTAAAATCACTTAAAAAAGTTTATAAGAATGTGTTGCAGTATTTTAATCGATTGAAAGACGAAACAATCGATTAAAACAATTTAGAAGATTTTTTGCAAAGTGTTTTAATTGATATAAACGTTGTCGTATTAGTTAAAATACATCTGGAAAATAATCAAGAACATTTTAACAGATTAAAAGAAGTTTTAACAGATTAAAACAAGACTTTTAACAGATTAAAAGATTATTTTAACAGATTAAATAAACCAGCAGTTTTGAAAATCTTCTATATAAACAGAGTTGCTTGAACTTTTTAAAACACATCTTTTAGCAATCAATCAAGCAATCATAAGTGCTACTTTCAAGAGAGAATTGCGCTAGTTTTGTAAAGTTCATAGAAGTTCTTTCTTGAGGCAATAATTGCATTCTTTTGGAGAAGAAACACATACTGCAGAGCTGCATAAATCTGGTTTGAGCGTTCTAGTTTCTTCTATTTGTTTCTTTACTTTCTTTACTGTATTGTGGGTGCCTGGAATTGTGGGCATTGGTTTCTGTAGCTGGAATTTGGCTGCAGGGCTGGTCAAGAACTGAAATTTGGTTCTTGGTGAAGGTTTAGGTGCAGGAACTGGAATTTTGGTTCTTGTGGTAGATTAAGTGTGAGATTAAAGTTGTAATTTGTAAAACGTTCAATCTAGTGGAACCCAGCTGGAATTTGGCTGGAAACTGGGCGTAGCCCTGGGATTGGGTGAACCAGTATAAATCTTGGTTGTATCTTTCTAAACCTTTCTCTTTTAATTCTGTCACTGCTTTTATTTTGATTGTTTGCTTTTTGTGATTCAAGAACTGGTCAGAAATCTTAATCTTTGAAATAGATAATCTGTAAATTGCGAAAATCTTTCAAAGATCAATTCACCCTCCCTCTTGATCTCAGCCTACATTTCTAACAAGATAAACTAAAATAGACATAAGCAACTACAAAGGTAAGATTGCTTACCGCAGAAAAACTAAAATAGGGAGGGGTGGGGAACATTAGGATTCAAACGAAGTTCTAAAAATATCTTCATAGAGTTTCTACTGCAGCTGGAGCAGTATTCAGCTACAAACTTAGAAAATAAGGAGATTTGGTCTCTATAAGTTTTGAAGGTTTACCAATCATCATACTTCACCAGTTTACCTACAAATTACAATCACAATATAAAACACAATGGCCATGATATGATAAAAAAAAAAATACTGTCAGCTTATACCAACAAGACAGGGTTCTCCTTAAAACCAAGCAAACAAATTTCAAGAATAAAAAGAATGATTTTGAATTTTCTATAAATATTGTTGCAACATTACCATAACTATTGTAGGGACAGGATAATGTTATCAATGTGATTGAGTCTATGTTGCATGTGAAATTGTTAATCGTTAAAATGGCTCCATCCACAGGACAAAATCCAAGTCACATTGCTACTACGTATAAAAGAAAAAGAAAAGCTTACCATAAGAAACAATGTGGACCATGTCACTGTCTTTCAGTGGGACCTCTCGTGAACCACATTGATAACAGTTTATTCAGGGAATTTCTGCCTCATGACTCTTTTGAAAAGCCAAGGGATAGGAATGCTGGGTGACTCTCACGTTTTCAGACTTTAAGGTTATATTCTAGTGATATAGTTGAGTGCTAAATTGTAACCTTTCTACGTTAAGCCAATGGATTGAAGTTTTCTTCTTGCAAATCTTTTAAGCCTTTATTATATATAATTGAAATTTACAACAACAACAAAATTACGCATAAACTGCATTTTTAATGTATAATATATATTTTAAAATTGTAGTAAAATGCTATATTAATTTGAAATTGATACACTCAATAAAATAAAGCATATAAATGTGTGTGTGTGTGTCAGAGTAAGAAAATTGAGTTTTTCACTTTCCAAATTGTAGATTCCTAGTATAGAAATTATATCAAACGACAGAAGTTGAGGTAGATTTGAGATGTATACACTTTTCTGGAATAATTGTATACAAAATCGAAATCTTTCAAAATATTCCTTTTTACAGAGACAACTAAGATACTACTTAAATCCTTTTAGTTTTTGAGTGGACATTATTCTACATTTAGGTTTTGATCTTTGAGAACTTTTGGGGTTACATTAATCTTGCAGTGTTTTAATTACCCAAAACTCAATTATACTTCCCATACCAAAACGAATAATAGTTGTATCTTCTTTAATTTATATTAGTAAAATCTATATTTTGTTATCCTTATATTAGAAACATTTCAAAAGATAAATATTAGATGTAACAGACATGCTCACTACATCAAGATAAAACAAGTTATATTATATTCTATTTTATTTTTATTGAAAGAGTTGCGTAATCGTGAGAATATATTGAAGTAATTAAAATATAGGAAAACAAAGATAAAAACAGTTTTCATTTGTAATAAAATAAATAGTTTCAAGATGAATGTTCAAAAAATGAAAAAATATGATAAATTAATTAAAACAAATTCACCTTTTAAAAGTTTTAAATAATGACAAATTAAAAAATGTAATAAAAAAAATAGGGTGCTAATAGACATATTAACGTATTAGTAACCCAACCCAGTTTTTTTCAAAGTGTTGATGCGAGCTCCGGATATGGATTGTGCACCACCAGTCAATAGAACAGGCATATCATGTCTGATCAATGAATGAGTATGAAATAGGTTCCATAGGGTTTAAGTTCATTTAACCTTGGCACTATATATAAACGCTGAAACCTAAGCGGAGGAATTGTAGTCTTGAATTTGACAAATAATGACTAGGATGCAGGAGGAACACACTTGTCAGAAAAATGGTATGGTGCCCAGAACAATAATCCACAAATTTGGAGATGGAACAACTCATTAACAGACAAAAAATTGGCCATTCAACTATAACCAACTCATTTTCAGTGTATGCCAGCATTATTTTAAAAGGGTTCTTGTCAAATGTTCTCTGGCTGTAGCCCAAGCTTGAGTTAGTGTCTGCAATATCAGAAACTTTCTGTTAGATTGAAGATCAAGTAACATGCCATTGTTGTTCTAAAATTTGGCTTGCAAAAATGTGTGATAGAAAACTGCTATCAAGGATAACGTAACTTCAAGGAATAACCAAACCGTCTTTCATCTACATGGCAGATTTTGTGCATTTGTGTTGTACAGTCCAATACAAAGCGCATATTAATAACAGAAACCAAGCCAAAACAGAGTTGCATTACCTGCTCTGACAAGGGGGCATCAGCATCCAAGCTATGAGAGGTCACTTTTTCAGCAATAAGAGGTCCATTTGTTTCAAGTATCATCCTTCGAGGAAAAACAATACTGTTATTAAAAAAAAAAAAAAACTAAAACTATTGGGGAAATAAAAGTTGTGGCTAAGAAATATATGCATACCCTCCATCAACAATCTCATCAAGACACAACAGAATGAGATCCAAGTTCTCAAGGGCCTCTCTTTTATCAACATTGCTCCTGTATAAAGGCACACACAGCATTGATCAGTACAGGTGCATCAGGTTTTAAATCCAGATAGTAAAATACAACCAAAAATACCTCAACAGAAGGGTGACTGCATCAAAGAAACCTTGAAGTACTGATGCTAAAATGAGCTCATTTTCATCATCACCACCAGTGACAAAGAAATGCAGGTCTTGCACAAATTTGTAAATTATGATATTGTTCTCAAGTAGCGTTACCTCAGCTGCAGATAATTGTAAACGATAAATCAGTTTCAATAGAGACATGATAAACATAAATAATGCAGACAGAAGTTTGTCCTTTTCTTCAATCAAACATATAATATCATTAGTATGACATGCTGAGAGGGGCTGTCATTGAATTATTGATTTCATTTGATTTCTAGCAGGGAAAATAACAGAAAAATCAATCATGCCAAGGGTTGTTAGGGTTGTTCCCATCATATGTTTGAGATCAATATAATATTCTACCGTTGTACATCACTTGCCCGCACCAGTGAAAGGCTAAACAGCTTTTCAATCTTAAAGCTCATTAAGGGCCAAACCAAAATACTAAATATTTAGTAGTACGGCTGACCTTCACAGAACTTTTTACACATTTAAAACACAAGAATTTTCTTAAAAGCATAATGATAAATACCCAAGCACTGGGAGAACATCCCTTACAAGCTAATAGTTAAGAAAGGAAAACCAAGCCATTTAAGTACTAGATCAAGCATCTCATACTGCTAGATGTAAGACTTAAACATCCCATAATAACCCATGTTTGTATCATAGCACCGCTATTGAGTGTCCAAGCAGCTGACACTCTACAACACTTAAGTCAGCCTTTCTGGTCAGTCCTTCCATATGTAATCCTGATAGGAATGCATAGTTTTAAGAATATTCCAGAAGAATTCAGAGAATTTTTGTATACTGATGTGAAAACATCAACTGATATGACCATGTGAGACACAGTATCCAATTTCATCTATTATTTAGTCCAAGGTTAACATTATGGCTCATTTTTTATTGATTTCAAGATATTACCTATGTAGGGAAGTAAATAGAATTCTCGGCAGAAATGCCCACAGACAGAAGTAATTAAAGATCAAACCAAAATGCAAAATAGATTAATCAATAACCAGAACTCTATAACATATATATATATATATATATATATATATATATATATATATATATATATATATATATATATATATTAAATTGATATGGCCACCTCTAGCAACTTATACAAAACAAAATGACTTCATATACGAATATGAAAATCTAATGCTTACCTTCTGTACGAGCATTTGTCTTAACAGTCTTACTAAATACAAACTTCTCAAAAGCTAACTTTGCATTGTTTGTTGGCCAGTCATCTGAGTAATACTTGACTGCCACACGCTTCCCTTCAGAGTCCAAAAGAAGAATATTTTTTATCGAAGGACACAAACCCTACAAATATAACAATATAGCACCCAGTCATTAAAGGAGCACTTTGCTTATCACAAATCCTTGACAAATATCAGAAGCTTCTCCCCATGAAAGCAAATGCAAGCAAAGTAAGTGCATCCTTCATTTTCACACCACTATTTACTAATCAACATTTTTCTTTCATTAGTTGCCATTACCTACTAAGATCTCTATGCACATGAACTTCTCAGCATGCACTTACATGAGAAGAAAATACAAAGGTGAAATTAATTAAGTTTCTCCATTTAGTTAAAATCAGTTTATGTATCAGTAAAATTAATCTATGCATAAACTAATTTTAACTTATAGTGTTGTTTTACCTTATTATTTACTATTCAAGTACTTATTGAGAAGTTAATCCAAAAAGAGCCTAAGTTGCAATGTAAGCAAAACTGCTGCTTATCAATTGGAAAATACATGAAAAATCTCCCAAGCGGAATAACGGATTATCAATTGTAGAGTTCACTTCATACAGTAATATACAAATATGCTTTCCAGCACATTCACTAATCATTAGACTTTTGTGTACATGAAAACGATAATGAATCATTGAATCTCTGTCTCTTAATTATCACCAGTTCTACCAGGAGCAGGTACACTGTTTTCAAAAGTTGATGCAAACCAAGTAACAAATCAACACATTTATGCCGAAAAGTTTGAAAAATAACACTCATGGGGAAAATGTTACAAACAGATCTGAAACGAGATTAAACATATATCTCAAAATGAAACACCCATTCACACGTATACCATCATTCAAACAACAGATCACTTGACGATCCAACAAACAGTAGCAAAATAAGAACTTTTAGGAAACCCAATTCTTAGATTTACGGGAATAAGTTCGCGCGCCAACGGATCCATTACGACAGAAAAGAATATCAAAATTCCTTCCATTTCATAGTTCTTCATGAATCCATCATATTTAGCTAAATAAGACTACAAAATTGTGATTCGTGTGCACATGAGATGAAGATTTTGCAGAGATAGAAAGAGGCTTACTTGAGATGCCATGTCAGAGAGAAGACACAATTTTGCACTGTGCTACGAAGTTTGGAACCGAAGATCTGTGATGCGAGGGAGCAAATACGAAATGAATTATCAATTAATAAGGGAGAAGGGCAATTTGGTAAATGAAAATATTTCTCTTCAACATAACGATGCTCCAATTTCTCCCAAGGACAAAAGCGATTGTCCGAGAAATAACGCTCACATTTCACAAACCCCAAACAAAAACTGAAAATATAAATTCTTGAATATTCCACATTGTTGCGACTTGCAAAAAAAAAATTGTGAGTAGTATTTAGTAAAATTCTTCTTTTTTTCAACAAACTTTCACTTTTTATAGTTGGATTAAAGTGAACAAACATTAAAGTTTGCATCTTTAGGCGAATAAATATTAAATTTTGCATCTTTACCTAATGTCGTGAATTTGAATGTTGTGGATGAGAATAATAGGAATGGGAATAATAAAAGAAATTAAAGCAACTTATATTATCATTTAAATCTTGTAATGTCAGATATTATTCACTTCCAAGAAATTAAAATGATTTTCTTCTTCTTATTTCATCTTTGTAAGTATTACCATCGAGTTGTTTAGAGGTTTATTAACATGATTTTATATAATTCTCATGCACATAGAAAAATTTAGTTTCCTATTTTTTCTGAAAAGTTTATTTTATGCACTTTGTGGAATTTTTATTTATTTTTAAAAGATATCATGAAAGATTAAGATAGAAGAGTATATATAAATTATTATTTTTTTATGTAAAACTGTATTATATTTATATATAAAGAGATAAATAAATATAAAAATAAAAAAGTGAAAATATTTTATATTAAATAATATACAAAGGAGAAAGACCATATATGAAGGTTTTCACTCGAAAATGGAGTCTTAAAATTTTGATTTGTTATTTAAAGCAAGAAATGGAATCGTTCGATAGTGGCACTAGCTATGAACCATGGTTTTGTGATCCTTAATTTATAACATAAATGAAGGAATGGGGCACGAAGCATGAAAATATACTGCAGTATAATGATGCTCTTATGAGACCGTGAATTTGAATGGTGTTTCACGCGAATCGTGACAACAGGTGAATCGTAAAAACTGCAGCTTTTAGTTATGTATTGCTCTGGAACTGTGAGGGTCTTTACATTTTGCTTTTGATTGTGTTGGATTTGGAACATGTTTAAGGAACTACCTCAGACAGTTAACCATATATAGATGTAACATTTAGCATCACTCTCCGCAGGTACCACAATTTATTACTTGCTCATATGCAGCTTTTGGTTATCACGCCTCATATATATCTTGACTATGTTTTGAGTGAGTTCTGGTGCATATGTTTAGGTGGCATTGTTGGTGGACTCTTGCCTCTAATCTTGGTGACAACTGCATGACAAAACTGATTTTGAATTGAAACAATTTTAAGTAAACTCATCATGTACATGTGACAGAACATAACCATATCACCATTTTTATCCATGTTCGTGCGCCAGAAGTCATCATACCTGTGATAGTTGGAATAATGTAATAGGGATTATTTTTGACCGAGTAGACTAGGAAAAATTTGGAAATAAAATTCAAAATCAATTTTAAACTCATTAATATTTGAATATTTATGTAAAATAATATTTCAATATGATTCTGTACTATGTAAATTCAAATGCGTAGTACTTAGAAATATGGAGTATGGTTGTGACAACAGACTTAATCTGAATCATATGATCTCTTACAAGCTCCATTTTATGTTTTGTGGTCCAGTTATTTTGTTTAAGCTCGCACCTGTGCTGGTAAGTCAATGATATGTGATAAATAATTGATAGGGAGAGGACTGAAGAGTGCAAAGATTGGAACTGCAAACCTATAACCCCTACAAACTTTTCCTAAAATGAAGATAAATTGGTTGTGGCCACGGAAATGATATGGGTCAGACCTTGCAGCCATGCTTTTGGATGGAATCTATTTACTTCTTTTTTATCTTTTTGTTTTATTTTTGTCTTGTTGAGTCTGCAAAAGGTGCTGATGTCAAAATCCAGCTAACCTTATCAAATGCATCCATTCATGCACCGCTTTTGTTTTAATATTTCAAGCTTGGCCTCTGAGATTTATGTTGATTTGCCAAATTCTTTCAATATGAAACTACAAAGGGATAGTATATATGAACTTGAGAGAGTGATATCATATCATTACATTATATCAACAATATTTAGCAGATATGGACAGTGTTCATGGGCTATATAAGGAGGGACCACACTTGCATTTCCAGCTCTCTGGCTCATAATTTGCATACTGGATGCCCAAATGGCTGCGCCTGGTGCTGGTGCTGGGAACTTGGATGGCTTCACATGGAACACAACCGTAGCACTTGTGCTCACAACTTGGTGGACTTGACCCTATTTTGCTCACTCCTCCATCATATGCTTCCTGCATTGTGTCTGAGGTGCCTTCTATGTCCACGAAACCCTTTAACATAGAGAGAAAACACAGTGCAACAATATATTGGTCATTAGTATACCAAGTAGACCACCCAGTTCCAAACATAAGAAAGATTAACGCACCCTTTTTGATTCTGTAGTATATGGTGGTGGGGATTGTAGAATCACTTCTTGAGCTGAAAAGGAGGGAATGAAGATTTAACATAGGAGAGAAAGAATGAAGCGTATCAGCTACAGTTTAATGAGGTGATCAAGAGTATAAAAAATGTTCACTGAGCTGAAGGTTCTGAGTGCAAGCCATTTAAATGCCCATTTTCTTACAACAAATATTTCTGAAAAGTTTTGGAGAAATATCACTGCTGACTTATAACTTACATTCGAGGTATGATAAACCCACAATTGCAAGTAATAAAGAAGTCAATCAAATCGGTGCGTATAAGTATAACTAACCTGGAAGAAATGGCTTTCTTACTGCAGAAACCAAACTCACTATTTGCAGTGCTAGCAGAAAACAGAATAATCTTCCTATCATTTTCTTTGTTCGAAAGTGCAAATGATGGATGTGATGAGATGATGTCTGTTGTTGATTGTAATGTTTGTGATGATGTTTGTAGTTGACAGTAGTGTTTGTGAGAGACGTGCAGAATTTAAATCTCTCAACAAATGGCTAGGGATGGTTGCTGGAATATATGAAGGCTACCAAAGGAGCTTGCAAGCTTCAAATCCCAAAAAGCAGGCCGGGACCCCCAAACATTCTAAGGCTACTCTTTAAAACCTATGTATTGGCCAAGAGATTTTGCTTCACAAGCAAGAGATTCAGTTTTCATGTCACAAAGTTAAAAACCTTAGCAATTTTCTCCTTCATTTGACTACTCACTGGGAACTCCAAAGACTAGTCTTTTTTCCACTGTCTTTCTGCATCTAACCTTGGATAACTTACCTTTCAAAACAAGCCAAACTTTTCACTCAAATCAATCTAAATTAGTAGTACTATTTATGATGGTCCACAAATTCAGAATAACAGCACCCTTTTTGGGCCTGATTGTCTGAAGCACCTGCAAGACCACTATAAATATCTGATATTTCATATTAAAAAAAGAACAAATAAATTCTTTGACGTGTAGACCACACACTACTTACACAGCCTTTCCCTTTTTCTGATGCTTTCATTGCCATATGGGGAAGAAAGAAATCAACAACAGAAAGCCAGTTATTTAAAGTGGTAAAAAGCACCAGACTCTAAGCATTCAGTTCTGCAGGAAAAGGAAAATTTAATGAGTTAGTTAACGAATTAAATAAGGTAACATTCTCAACTTTCTACGGGTTGGTTGTTGGAGAAAATACAAGTCTACTTAGTAACATCCAATCTGGGCTATTGCTTTACTTCTTGACATTGAATTTGGGTGTCCCACCTCACCTGCTGGATATTTTCCCACATTAAATGAAGAGCATATTCCAGTTACATCATTTATTATGGTTCAAAAGGCACCATGGATGAAAGAGCACAAACAAGGCATGCACAACTAAACATAGAGGGCTCAGTGAGTTATATTATAGGTGAAGTAGTCATTAAGTATTAGTATTATATTATGTCATTTTTTCTGCTAAGCTTATTAGGCACAACAAAGTAGGCATTATTCTGTTGTAATTGACAGCAGCCAGTGCAGTTTGTGGGAGGGATAACAAGTGTTTCACAGAGATATTGAAATAAATATGCTCGGTAATGATATAAAGAAGTTTAGTAAAAATGACATGAATAGTTCATCAATCAATCATGTTAAGAATGACTCAATAATAAATGCACCTATATATTCATTTTTGTGTAATGTGGGTGAACCCTATTGTCTGGGAATTATTACTTTTAGTTATGGGGCAGGTGAGTAATTTGAGTGATTTGAGTAAAAGGATATTTCATATGTTGATGTGCTTTATAGTCAAGGAAGCTGATGTTATCTACCTACAAACCTGCAGACAGTTGTCAAGATAGTGACAGAAAAGACCCCTAGTAATAATATAGAGTTTAGGGCTACTGAAAAGAAGTTAAGAAAAGACAACGAGGGAGAAAAAAAGATAAGTGTTACGAGTTAGATGGTTTCCATGAATGTTTTGGCTGTCAAGTAACGTTAATTGGGAAATGAAAGAGTAGTGGTATACTCTTCTATTGTAACTTCTACTACTCTTCTTAGTACTTTAAAAAAAATAAGTTTCAAATAAAAAAAACGAATGCATTAAAAATCTTAAAAATATAAAATGCATTCACTTTTTTCATTAATTAGAATAAGATGATCTGAAAGAAAATAATGTAGGAAAATTTAAAATTATCCCAAACGAAATTGTGTAAACAACATTTTAAATAAACATATTGGTTTCAAATGTTCAAGACAAACTCTGCTAAGAATTCTACTTTCCTGGTTCCGCTACTGTCTAAAGTATAAATTAAATGGCTTCTCTGCTCTTGTGCTCTAATTCTTCGCTTTTATAGGAAATTAGTTCATGCAAGGAACTTGATTTTGCATGAAATAAATTATTATTACTCACATAATTCGTGTTGCTTACAGGATATACAAAATCTTCTCAAGATAATGCATTACTCAGTTAAGTGTATGAATTCGCTTCTTATGTACTACTTATAGAAGCTTCTGCTTTATTTACTTAACATGAATATTTGCATTCGAGTCATAGTTCCATACACACCTAATTGCATACATAAGAAACCATATCATTCCCTGCACCAACCAATAACTTGAGCCACAATATCCCTAACTCAGACCATCATATGTCATTGCTCCATAATTGATACCCAACTTGAATACAAAGTCATAAATGTAATGTTGCTGAAATTACCAGTCCGATCAGTTTTATCTTTGTTAGTAAGATTGGCATGAGGAAAACACAGCACGAGCACGAGATAGAATTGGCAAAGCTAAATAAAATGTAATTTAACACCAATATTAGTGTAGTTGAATCCCAAATTTTATTCCATATATACAGGTGACATGTTCAAATAAATGTGTTAATCGTACAAATATAACTTCCTAATTAAGTGATCATACTTTGTGAATAACAAATCCTGCTGATGTACTTGATGATGTTACAGATGAGAGTCTACAATAAAACTTTCACATTGATAATGTACCACCAGTCCAAGGACAATTTCCTACCTTTTCTGAAAAGAAAAGGACTCGGCATTTATATAATCATTTGAAAACATAAATCATTTACTATTTGTACATCATAATTGAAACAACAAGAAAAGAAAGAACAATGGACAAGGCAAGCACGGTAGTTTAGATGGTTAAACACCACTGAGATAAGTCTTCAAACTCCTAGCCACCCCTTTTTGGTGTGCCAGATTCCGATTCTTTATTATGATGAATGGCCTCAACAACAGCTTCGATCTCCTCCTTCACCCGTTCAAACACATTTGGCCCTTTGACTTCATAAGTTGGAGTTTTCTCATCAATGTCGTGACTTGTCCCATGAGTTTCTTTGTCATGGCGAGGCGATTTGTCATGATGAAACACTGCCTCAAACTCCTCCTTAGCTCGCTCAAAAATGTTTGGAGATTTCACATCTTTTTCTTTCAAGAAGCAAATACAAAGAATTCAAATCTTTATTATTTTTTGAGGAAAATTAAAGTGTCATTACATTAATTAGTCCACACACATACCAAGAACTTTGAACCAATAATTCCAACATAAGAAATCAAGCAACCTCCCAATCTTCCCCACAATTCCACAACCAGAAAGAAAGGAAATTTCAGCAATGGGCAAGCAGAAGAAACTCATTAGAATAATGAATTTGAGTTGAAAAAATTATTCTTTTTTTTTTTCTATTTTCAATTCTTCAAAACGTCACGCATCTACCTTTTCTCTCTCGTCATACAAATTCTAAAAAAAAAAAAAAAAAAAAAAAAGAGAATTTTGTAATTAAAGGTGAACACAAAATTGAAAACTGAGAACGATTTTCTTACATGTCCCTCTTCCCTTCTAGATTCACTGGTGACCACCACAAAATGTAACTGGATAATCCAAAGGGTATTACCATATTGTAACCAATTTCAACAAGATCAAGTAAAAGGCAATCTTTTGAAACTAAGGAAACAAGATCAGAAACTGCAACAGGTGAATGATGAAAGCCCACAATAGCGCAGCCTGAAGCCTAAGAACTATCACACAAAACAAATGAAAAGATAAAATCTTTGAATGACTATACCTGAAATCGAATCCTTAGGCTTGGAATCCCTTTCTGCCATTGATGTTTCGGACACGCTTGAGTTGAGTTGAGGCTGTTGCTTTCACCTTCGTTTCTTCAACTATCTCTCTCTCTTCTTCTTTTTTCTTTTCTTTTTTAATTTCGCGTTTCACTATTTTCTAATGAAAAAGAGATGTAAATTTGTTGACTGCATGAAATGTTTAAAAACTAGTAAACCACCGACATTGAATTTATAATATTATAATGTACTTACTTATTATATTTTAATTTTAAAAATATTATGACTTTTTAATGCCTTTAACAATTATAATTTTAAACATACCAAATATATGTTAATATATATATATATATATATATATATAACTTAAATATATTTAAATCTCATTCATAATATTTATATTTTTTTAATAATTTTTAACTAACAATAAAGTGTGTTGTGTATTTTATGTTGGCTTGACCAATAATATATTGGTTTATTTGTATTTATAGAAAAATAATAATTCTACAATATAATTTAATTTTAAATGATTTTTGAATAGATTTTCTTTTTTTAATTCTTATCTTTATCGTATCTATTTTTATTCTCAGCAACAATAAAAAATCAATTTTTTGTTTTTATATTTTTAAATAAGTTTATTTTAAAAATAATCAAAATTATAATTATTAATCATTTTATTAAAAAGTAGATTTCATAAAAAAAAAATACCTAATATAATAATACTCCACTGTTTTTTTAATTCATAAAAATATGGTTTAATAGTCATACAACGTAAAAGTTTTACATTATTAATTAATTAATCACTTTCAAAATAAATTTCATTTATTATAAGTGACGATATAAGATACCTCTATTTTAGTGTTTGATACGACTTTAGTTTATGTTTTTTCTACAAAAGTAAAAATTAAGTTTAACACCTTTTATATAAAGTCTTTATGAAATAAATAGCTTGTTTTTTTTAAGAAATAATGAAAATAAGTTCATTTTAAAGTGGATGAGTGATTTCTTATTAGGATTAAAATATATGTTAAATTTATGTACTTTCTCATTCAACTTATTTTGGTTAAAAATATGATTAATTAGTTTTAAAATTTTGAAATATATGAATTTAATTATTATATTAATGTTATAATAGTAAAAAATTATACTAAATCTTAAATTTATATATATAAATAATTAAAATATTATTTATTAATTTTGTAATAATAAAAAATATCAATATAATATTAAATTTATGAATAAAAAGTTGTATATTTTTTAAAATTAAAAGACTGAATTCGTCAATTTAAAATTAAAAGATCATATAAGAAAAAAATGTCAAAAACATAATTTTTCCTTGTTATTATGACTATATTATGGTTTAATTTTATGGAAGTTTGCGGAATAATTTTTGTGAAGATTAGAATTTAAGACAAATATTAAACACCTAAGTTTATAATCATATTAACTATTTTATTGATTTACTAGTTTTATAACATTTTTTATCTTTCTTAATTATATTTTATTCTAAATTTGAAAACTTTCAAGAAAAATTAAATGAATAGATCCATTTAAAAACCAAAAACTATTACTATATAAAATTAATAAATACTTTTAAATAAATTTTCAAATTTGTGTGTGTCCATAGCCATTTCTATAAGCCCAAAACGGAACCCAATGTTATTGACTCGGTTTGGTTTGCTCCTTCCGTCGTCCTAGACCTAGTCCAATAAACTTGTTCATACAAATTTGATTTTTCTCCATTGTTAAATTAGAGTCAAGTTGAATACGTGATTTTTTAAGTAAATTTTTTAGTTTCCCTAATTAATTATTAGTAAAATTAGTATTTCATATAAGAACGAGGGTATTTTTGTCTCATGTCCACTTTGATCATATTGATAAAGTTCATTATCATATTTGAGATATTATTTGTTTTAAAATTTTAGTCTATTATGTTTTTTGTTAACATGTGTTCCCATGGTTCAGAAAGAAAAAAATGTATATAAATTACACATGGTCTCCTCCACTCTAGATAATGTGAACTCATGAGTGTATCAAAATATAATTATCCAGTTGAGTACTAAAGAGTAGGAGTACCAAAGGGTAAGAGTACCAAAACATAGTTATGATAATATAGTTATGAGAACTAAAAGGTAGGAGTGGAAGACTCTGCTCTCGCCTTTATGATGGATACTAATGTTCTGTCTAGGAACAACCGTGTTTTGATCTTATATTCGTTATAATAATATAGTTAGGGTACATTCTTATCTAACTTTGAAACTCTAGTCCGTCATAATTTTGTCCTTAAAAAATGTCTCGGTGGATTAAGAGAGAAAAATATATACAAACTATCATTGACCTCATATTTGAATTATACGTGTTTCATCCAAAAACGAGAGTATATCAGTTTCATGTCCGAGATATTATCTACTTTGAAACTCTAGTCAATTACAGTTTTGCTTTAAAATGCGTCTTAGTGGATTGAGAAAGTTTATATAAACTACTCTTAACCTCAACTCCTAAGTGATGTGAGATTAATAAGTATACCAAAATTTGCAGGACTAAAGGGATATATATGATAATATCATCTAAGTCAATTATCATGTATAAGGTATTATCTGTTTTAAAGCTCATATCTTATAACTTTGAATTATTATCAGATTAATAGAATTGTTATTGGCAGAATTCGAACCTAATACCTTGGCAGAATTTGAACATAATACCTTAGAATTGGAGACTAATATTTCACCATTAAGCTACTATAATTTTTTGATAATAATTTACAAATAAATTATATTTATATACAAATAAATGTATATTCATGTAAATATATAAATACAATATATTTATATATTTATATATAATTAAATATTTTTTTAAATTATTTAATTTAATAAATTATTATAAATTGATCTAATTATGATTAAATTAAATTATTAAATAAAAAAATATTTAATTTTTTAATTAGGTGAATAATTAATTTATTAGAATATATTTAAAATTAAGTAATTATTATATAATTGTATCGATGGATATATCCGTTGATAACTAATTGTTAATTTACCGACGGAAATAATTGTTAATTTACCGATGAATTTACAGACGGATATATTCGTCGGTAATTAATTGTTAATTTACCGACGAATTTAACGTTGAATATATCCATAGGTAACTAATTATTAATTTACCGACGGATATATCCGTCGGTAAGACTAAATTTCACAAATGTTTTATATCCGTCGTTAATGACTCATTTTTTGACGGCTACAAATTCGTCGGTAAAAATCTGTCGGAAATATGCGATTTTCTTGTAGTGATGCAAGAAAGAAACCCTAATAGAGAAATATTCTCACTTTGACAAAAATTATTTGTTGCCTCTTTTCTCAATTCAACAATCATAAATACAAAAATTTAGAGTTTAGGGTTTTCCTGGACTTGACTTTGTTTATAATAAAAGGAAAAGAAAACCAAAAGAATTAAAACTAATCAAATATTAAATTAATGATCTTGGGTTCAAATCTCAACTCCACAAAAAAATTATTTTTATTTTAACTCTCCAAGTCCATTACACATGTAACTAGCTTAGCCTCTTCAGTGACTTGAGTCTTTGACGGTTGAATTTCCTATAAAAGAGTCACCTTCTGTTGTAAAGTTTTTTGGGTCTTTCTAATCCTTTTTCTAGTCATTAGTCTAATTAAGTCTTCAATTAGATCTTCATCTTTCTTCTCATGGTCTTGGGATTTTATATCTACATCAGCAACACTGAGCTTAAAGCATTGAGTGGATTCTCATTAACTAAGCGAAAATCATATAGAGAGGATCATTTCCAAGGAACAAAAATCGCTCAATAGTTTTGAATTTGCTGAGCAGATTCACGCCAGACAGCAAACCATTTTGAAAGGGTAAAGACGCTTAGCAGACAAGAATCCACTGAGCGGATGGAAGCCTTTAGGACGAAGAAACCTCATTACTGATCGCATGGATTAAAAGGCTACGAAGTTCTTTGGATATAAATAGATAAACTGAAAAGGAAAAGAAAATAGATGGATGCGAGAAGAAAAATAGAGCATACTTTCAAGAACTAGGGTTAGAGAACAGAGGCTGAACTTGAGCTCTCCTTCTTGTACGTACATTTAGGATTTCGCTCATCATATGTTATTAATTTCTCTGCTTTTGAATTGTATGTAACAATTTAACTCTTTTGTAACTATATATATATATATATATATATATATATATATATATATATATATATATATATATATATATATATATATATATATATATGAATTTCTTTCTCATGGTCTTGGGTTTTTATGTCCACATCAACAACCTTGGGCTTAAAGCATTAAGCGGATTCTCATCGACCGAGCAAAAATCAGTTAGAGAAGACAATTTCCAAGAAACAAAAATCGCTGAGCAGTTTTGAATTCGTTGAGTAGATTCATGTTAGAGAGCAAACCCTTTTGAAAGGGTAAAAGCACTCAGCAACAGGAATCCACTGAGTGAATGAAAGCCTTTGGGAAGAAGAAACTTTATTCCACTGTTGAATTATTGACAAACGTACCAAAATTATCAATCGCAGTATAGTATTTCAATTAAATAAAAGTCGATTCCATGAGGAACAGTTTCAATGGAAATTCCCAATTATGCTTACTAAGTAGATTAAACAGATTGACTTTTGCAAATAAGAGTTGAATTGAAATTAAATGACAAAGAACTGTAAATTGTTGAGAAGATATCAATTAAAGGTACTTAGGATTGACTTCCTTCTTTATCCCTCTTTTGTACTGGCTATTTCAATTAAGAACGTCAATTAACCTAACAATGTTGATGACACCTACTCAAATCATCCATGTTGATTCCTCACACATGAAATTCATAAGAAAACCTAATAAATGTTGATTCCTCACACAATTAAGAGATTTTCCAGCATTAGTTTAGGGTGTTTAAGCAATTGATACATTCATTCCATTCCTGGCAATTAACGTAACAAATATTATTACCGTGATCTAGGGTTCAAGATATATTTTCCAATCATACCTCAAACAATCAAGAATAAA